CAGACCCTGGACCGTCCAGATGGACGGTTCAGCCTCCTTCGGCGGGTGGCAGCCTCAAGAGAGCCGCCAGGCCCAAACAAACTGTCGTTTGGGCCTACCCACTGGGCTGAGTGCAAAATCAGGCCTTTAGGGCCTATGACCCTCAAGGTCGGGCCTTTAGGCCCTGGTGTGTCCCTCCGGCCCTAAGTCGGGTCCGGTAGGACCCGTGTGGCATCGAAGATGTAACATCTGCAGTGTGCCCGAAGACGAAGTGGGCAGAGATGTGTAGTGTAGTGATAGGGTAGTGGCAGCTAGCCCTGCCATAGCTGTAGCATAGTGTGTGTGTGTGTTGCGTATGGAGACTGAGTGTTGCGTGTGGGACATCCAGGGTGATCTAGAGTGCGAACAGTGAGTTGTGTGGGCGCGCAGTCGCCATAGCCAGTTGGAAGAGAACTCTTATCTGGGCACGATATTTTTGAGTACTATGTGGGCGCATGTCGCCAGTTTGCTGTATCGCTGTTTGCATGCATGACGAAGTGTGAATAAGCCGAGTCTGATTGCAATGGTATCGGAGCAGGTACCCGCTGTTCCACGCGCGCGATGTGTGCAGGGACGATGTGCCGTAGCTGAAGTGACCGCCGGAGGAGGCAGTCCGCCATAGCGGACCTCGAGGTGGAAGAAGACGCCGCGCACCTGCAACAAGAAGACCACGACAATGAGAGAGAGAGAGAGAGAGAGAGAGAGAGAGAGAGAGACATGAGAGATACAAGATTGGGTTCTTACCTGCTGCGCTGAAGATACCGCTACAGAGAAAGAGAGGAAGGAAGAAAGTGAAGGAAGGGGAAGTAGACGGCGAGGGTGACGAAGGTGGAGGTGCCGGCAGCCATAGCCGAGGTGAGGAGTTGACCGGGCGTTGACCAGACCGTTGACCAGAGGGTTGACCAAGGGTTGACCAGAGGGTTGACCAGGCGTTGACCAGGGGTGTTGACCAAGCTTTGATTGGGGTTGACCGCGTTGACTCGGCGTTGACCAAGGCGTTGACTGGAGCTGCTGACCAAGATTTTGACCAAGCTGGAGTTGGTGATATCTCGCTGAGCCCTAACCTATCCCCTTACCCTGTGGATGTGCACTCACCCTACGGTACTTGCTGAGTTGAGTCTGTCTGTCTTTCCTTTCTGCATTGAGTCTCTTCTGTCCAAGGTGTTAGGACTCTGTGGATGAAGGATAGGGGCTTGCTGCCAAACCTGCACGGGCTTAGTAGGACCAAAGCTCTACGCTGGCACTTGGAGACCTGGGAATGAGCGGCGAGCGCTCGTTAAACAACTCGTCTAGCCCAATGATCGGTACTGTCCGACAGGTCTACTGAGTTCAGTGTAGAGGGTCTGAACTCCGGGCTGTAGGCTGAAACGGGGGCCGTCTTTAAGTGTTGAGGCCTGGTTGAGCCACTCCCCTRCCGGACCTACTACAGCSGATGATCTGTGTCTGACGACTCGACTRTCCCGAGGGATACGAASCCCTCCAAGGACCRGTACAGACCGGCGGGCTGCTCGGTGTGGCAMAGTAGGCTGGAACGGCTGAGTTGTGGGCTGAAATCGCCAGAGGRACCAAGCTGATCACGTCGTCCTGTCTGCGACGTTAAAGAATTCTTGCGGAGTTTSGGGGATCTCCTTAAATGCYTCCTGATCAGCTTTGGGTTCAGTAGTGACAGCCTTAGAGTAGTTGTGAGTAGTGGATCTTAGAGAGTTAGTCAGTAGGTCAGTGTGTCCGGGTAGGTCTAAGTGGTGGGGGGGGGGGCGTTGTCGTGCACCTGACGCCACAATGGACGACTATCCGATGTATGGGTTGCTGGTTGGGTTCTCTCTCTGGGGGACCCTCTGACGCCTCCTCTTTCCTCTGGGTTTCTGGCCCACTTTCACGTGTAGATTAGGGCCCACTCATGGTGGTACTTCCACCACGCCATACACGAAGGAGGAGGAGGAGAAGATGGCCGCCATCTTGCAGGAGAGGAAGGAGAAGAAGCAGGCCAAGAGGAAGGCCTTGAAGGAGGAGCAGGCGGCCAAATTGTAGAAGATAGAAGAAGAGATGGCCAGGGAGAAAGAGAGGTTGAAAAAGGAAGAAGAAGAGAAGCTGAAAGAGGTGGATGAAGAAGAGGAACGACCGCCACTGCAAAGGAAGAGTGGGCAAAACAGTGGCAGCAACGGTAATGAGATGGAGAAGAAGATTTCGGAGTGGGTCGCCAGCTTATCCCTAGGCCAGGAAGAAGAGGTGATGACGTACATCCCAAAGGATGACCAAGAGGCTGCCATGAAGGCTTGGGATGCAGAGAAAGACCCTCTTAGGCGACAGGTACTAGAGGATCAACAGAGGATGGAGTGGAAACTTGCCATGATGAGGGAGAAGAAGAGAAGGGTGGATGCGGCGAGTGAAGCGGTCAAAGAGTTGGAGGAGGTGTAGAAAGTGAGTCTAAAGTTGACCCCCCAGGTAGATTTCGAACGGAAGGTAGAGATACTCGCCCAGAGCGTCGAGCGGCTAGCAAAGATACAAGAACAACAATACGAGTTTAGCCGAAGCCAGGACATAGTTGTGCGCTCGATGCGAATGGGATTCCGGGACTTTGCGCGCGAGCTGATAGGAGCCGTAGGGGCCGAGGTGAATCATCGCCTCAAGAAGACTGAGCGTTTTTGTGTCGGCGCCATTGAGGGCGTCAAGGTAGCAGCTCCCAAGGAGGAGGAGACTCGTCCTCGCAGGGAGCCAGTCAAAGTCAAATTCCTTGATTCCTACAGTGGRAAAAGGGAAGAGAACTTTGATAATTGGGAGGCCAATGTCAGGACCTATGTGCATCTGCAACAGGTCTCCCCGGATCAGCAGGTCCTAATTGCGATCCACGCGCTTAAGGATGAGGCCGCTAGCTTTGCAAGGTCCCTTGTTCGCGCTGCCAACTGCAGTGATGATCCAGTTGCATACTCCACATTCACCCCCCTCGTTGAGTTCCTGAAATTGCTGCGCGAGCAATTTGCTGATGTCGCTCGTAGTGTTAAAGCGTCAGATAGGCTGCAGACGATCCACGCCCGCAAATGGAAGAGTGCCAGGGCACTCAAGAGTACAATGGATGAGTTAGTGGCTGTCCCTGACCATGGGGTTTCGGACACCCAGTTGGTCGGCCTCTTCTATCGGGCCATACTCGAAGCCCTTCGAGGGCATTTCTTCGCAAAGAGCGAAGACCCCGCCACTACGTATGATTCTCTTAGCCGTGAAGTGGTGGCTTTTGAAGCCAAGTCTTCGCTTGTGTCCACCTTCTGGCACAAAGACTTGGATAAGGGAAAGCAATGGAAGGGCCGCATTATTTCTGGGCAAGTGAAGACTAAGGATAACCTTGTCCTGATCTTAGATGAGGGTAGTGTGGATGAGATCCCCTACGACCAGATTGAGTGGGGGTTAGAGGAGGAGGACAGTGGTGTGGGACAGGGGAGGACCTACGCTGCTGTCGCGGCTGGAGGGAGGCCGCAAGGAGGACGAGGCCAGGGCCAAGGGGGCCGGGCCTCAGGGAGCCGGTTTCAGGGCGATCAGGGGGTTGGCGGTAGAGGAGGAAACCGCCAAGCGGGAGGCAGGGGTCAAGGTCCCCCGCAAAACGGTGCTAGGAATAGGTCTCCCTATAGGGTAGGAGGATGGCACCCAAGGCTACCGCAGGGTAGGCCTTGGGAATCTCTGGGTCTGGACCAGAGCTTATGGCAACAACGATTGGACCGGGGCCAGTGCATTTTTTGCGGTGACCCGGGCCACACCATCAAATACTGTCCTAAGTATCGAGAGACCCGAACGGCTGCTCAAGGGCCAAAAGGCAGCCGCCGGTAGGGGTAGCAACTACCCCTACCACTAGGCCATGGAGGGAACATAGCGCTAGCCGACAGGAGACTCCCCCACCACGTGTGCCAATGGCAGAGGTTGCAAGCCGGTGTCTAGATAGCTGCCGAGAGACTGCTTGTGTTAGAGTCTCTCTAGACACCTCCCTCACAGGCGTGGCCGAAGAATTGAAGGAGAGGAGGCCCGCCTGGGCCAAGATGAAGAAGGAGAATAAAGGGCARCTGRTTTTATTAGATGCCGAGATTTTTAGAAGTAGAGTAGGGGCCCTAGTAGACTCAGGGGCCACCCGCAGCTATATTAGTAAGAAAGCGCTGCAAAAGTTGAGGCTAGAAAAAGTCCAGAAACTGACAGACCCCATAGTTAGTATCCTCGTGGACAATCGTACAATGGTTGTAGAGGAGTATGTAGAGGAAGTCCAGGCATATTTTCGCCTAGAGAAGGATGGGAAAGTGGAGAAGGTCCTCCACTCCCTGACTCTCCTCGTAGAAGACAGCCTCCCATTTGATATTGTCCTGGGACTGGATTTGGGAGAGGCAGCCGGGGCCACGCTCCATCTGAAAGAGCACGAGTGTAGGTTCCCTAGTTCGTCAGGCGAGGCTAAGACTGCCCGCCTGTTCCATGTGTCCGGGGTAGAGAATTCCTTGGCGCATTGCTGCCTTAGTGCCCCTGCGTTCGCCAGATTGGTGAAGAAGGAGAAATTAGAGGAACAGGTCTTTGTTGCCTATGTTAGGCCAGTCACTGAGCCTAAGGAAGAGAAGCCCGTACACACCTGCTATTGCCAAATTGCTGGAAGAGTTTAAGGATTTGACCGAGCCGCCGACAGGCACAGTGCCGCGGCCCATCCAGCACCGTATTAAGATAGAGCCTGGCAGTAGAACTCCTAAGGGTGCTGTGTATAGGATGTCCCCACGGGAGTTAGAGGAGCTACGGAAGCAGTTGGACGAGCTCCTTGAAAAGGGTTGGATTAGGCCCAGTTCGTCTCCGTTTGGAGCGCCTGTTCTCTTTGTCCCTAAGAAAGAGGGAGAGCTGAGGATGTGYATAGACTATAGGGGTCTGAATGCTATTACAGTAAAGAATGTTGAGCCACTACCTAGGATAGACGATCTCTTAGATCGAGTGCAGGGGGCGAAGTATTTTTCTTAGATAGATTTGAAGTCCGGATATCATCAGATAGAGGTGCATCATGATGATCAGTATAAGACAGCCTTCCGGACTAGATATGGGCACTACGAGTTCATAGTGATGCCCTTTGGACTAACCAACGCGCCAGCCACGTTCCAGCGCTGTATGAACGATTTGTTTAGGCCGTGGTTAGACAGATTTGTTGTAGTTTATCTAGATGACATTCTAGTGTTTAGCAGGACCCTCGAAGAGCATCAGGGTCATCTCAGGCAGGTCTTGGAGAAGCTGAGGGAAGCTAACTTCAAGAACTATGCAAAGAAGTGTGATAGGGCGAAAACCCAAGTTTTGTACTTAGGCCACGTCTTAGATGGAGACGGCGTCAAGCCTGAAGATAGTAAGATCGCAGCGATTAGAGATTGGCCCACACCACGTACGCTGACAGAGTTGCGCTCGTTCCTGGCCTAGCTAATTACTATAGGAAGTTCGTGAAGAACTTCTCCACCATCGCTGCGCCCCTTCGCAGATTGCTGAGAAAGGAGACCATCTGGAAGTGGGATAAGGACTGCAAGTCTGCTCTGAAGAAGTTAAAGCAAGCATTGATAGAGTATCCAGTCCTTAAAGTCGCCGACCCGTCCTTGCCCTTTGTCGTCACGACTAATGCGAGTCAATACGGCATAGGCGCAGTGTTGCAGCAAGACGATGGCAATGGGTATAGACCCGTAGAGTTCATGTCCGCCAGGATGCCTTCAGAGAAGGTCGCGACATCTACCTATGAGAGGGAACTCTACGCTCTCAGGCAAGCCTTAGACCACTGGAAGCACTACTTGCTTGGGAGACACTTCAAAGTCTATTCTGACCATGAAACGTTACGATGGTTAAAGACACAGGCCAAGATGACACCTAAGCTTACTAGGTGGGCTGCAGAGATAGATCAGTACGACTTTGAGCTCAAGCCTGTCAAAGGGAAGTACAATGTAGTTGCGGATGCTCTGAGTAGGAGGGCAGATTGCTTTGGGGCGATAGTGCATTACCTCGATATAGGGAAGGACCTGCAGCAGAAAGTTAGAGGGGCCTACGCGCAGGACCCTATTTATAGTGACCTCCTTAAGAAAGTTAAAGAGGCCCCAGAGACTGAGCCAAACTACCGCACTACTGAAGGGTTGCTTTTTGAGAAGACCTATGTTTTTGACCGATTGTGCATCCCCAATAGTGAAGAGATCCGTAGTTTGATTTTGGGGGAATGCCACGACACAGAGGGTCATTCCGGTTGGCAAAAGACTTTAGCCAATCTGATGCGCGCGTATACCTGGCCAGGGATGAAGAATGACTGCATAGAGTATGTTCGCAGTTGCAAAGTCTGCCAGCGTAACAAGAGTTCTACACGCGCCCGGCTAGGCCTTCTCAGACCCTTGCCCATTCCGGATCAGCCGGGAGACTCGGTGTCCATAGACTTCATGGACACTCACGTCAAAAGCAGGCACGGCAAGAGCCAAGTCATGGTCATAGTTGACCGCTTTAGCAAGTACGCAGTTTTTGTTCCTTTGCCTTCAGAGGCACGTACTGATTTAGTCATACAGAGATTCTTCGACTGTTGGGTGAGCGAGAATGGAATCCCACTGTCTATAGTTAGCGATAGAGATAGTCGCTTCACTAGCCAGAACTGGCAAGAACTCATGGGAGTATACGGATCTAAGTTGTTGATGTCGTCTGGCCGTCATCCAGAGACTAACGGTCAGACAGAGCAAATGAACAAAATCCTACAGCAAGTTATACGCATGTATATTAGGCCAGATCAGATTAACTGGGATGAGATGCTGCCTAAAGTAGATAGTGCGTACAATAACAGCGTGCATCTAGCCACCTGCCGCACTCCCAACGAACTGCACAAGTCCTTTAGACCGCGCAGACCGTTTGAGGGACTCAACCAGGATCAGACTCACAGATTGCCGCCCGGGAGCAGGGAGTTTGCTGTACAACACGAGAAAGAACTAGCTACTGTAGTAGGAAACCTCTGGAAAGCCCAGCATAGGATGATAGAACAAGCGAACAAACATCGTCGCCCGTCACAGTTTCAAGTAGGCGACTTGGTCTGGGTTAGTTCTAAGGAGTTTACACCTGAGGAGAACATCTCGCAGAAGTTACTGCCCACATATAGAGGGTCGTGGCCTGTTCTGGATGTCAAGGGCGGCGAAGATGGACCGTCTTACACTAAAGAGCTACCAGCACACCTCCACACTTACCCAGTTTTCCACGCATTAAAGTTACTACCTTGTCAAACGAGTGATCAGTTTCCATCCTCGTAGACCTATGATTCCACCCGATATGGATGGGAGGTATGACATCGATGGCATAGTTGCTGAAGATGTATTTAGAACTGGAGGTAGGGGTCGTCCACAGAAACAGTACAAGGTTCATTTTAGCTATCAAGAACCGGAAGACGACTGCTGGTTTACAAGATCTGAACTTCTAGAGACAGCTCCCGATATAGTCCGGGCCTACGAGAGACAGCAGAAGGGTAAAGGTCCTGCCTTGGACTGAAATTTTCTCGGAGGACCTCGAATTTAGGCCGGCGGGAGTGAAATGGTATTCACCAGTTCGCAGTAGCGAATGCAGATCCCGGGGCTCGATCCATAGTTCCCCATCTTACCTGTGTACAGTATTGATGTCAACTCGTAGATTTGAACCCGTGACCTGTAGGATCGCCAGTGGTAGGTAAGTCTTCGTAGGTCACTAGGTAGAGGAGATTCGAACCGTAGACCTGTAGGGTAGARGTCTAGACAGTTCTAAGGTYGTAGCCGTAGACTGCCTGAAGAGTCAAGGTCGTAGCCGCTACTTACCTGAAAGGGCAAAGTCGTAGCTGCTACAGTACCGAAGGGCCAGCGTAGAGGTTTCTAGAACTGGCTTTTCGGAGTTGGCCTGTGTTTAGCAGAGGCAAGTGGTCAAGTGGTGGTAGTCCACCTAGCCTAGTCAGCAGTCCCAGGTAGCCCAGTCCGGTCCAGTCAAGCAAGTACCGTCTGGGACTGTGCACATCATGGGCCAAGGGGATAGAGGCCAGACCAACGCAGCGCAAAAGTATAAATCAAGAGGCTGCGTCCAGCCATTCATTCATTCCTGCGGATGCCATGCGGAAGCGCTGCCTCAGCAGCTTGTGCGAGGAGGTCTGCAGTGTGCCCGAAGACGAAGTGGGCAGAGAGGTGTAGTGTAGCAATAGGTTAGTGGCAGCTAGCGCTGCCATAGCTGTAGCATAGTATGTGTGTGTGTTGCGTAAGGAGACTGAGTGTTGCGTGTGGGACATCCAGGGTGATCCAGAGTGCGAACAGTGAGTTGTGTGGGCGCGCAGTCGCCATAGCCAGTTGGAAGAGAACTCTTATCTGGGCACGATATCTTTGAGTATTGTGTGGGCGCATGTCGCCAGTTTGCTGTATCATTGTTTGCATGCATGACGAAGTGTGAATAAGTCGAGTCTGATTGCAAAGGAAAAGATGCATCGAAAAAAAATCGTAATATTTCTGGACCTCCAGCACCGGAATTTCGAATTTCATAAAAAGAAAAACGAAAATTTCAGATGCAACCTAGGATGTTTTCCCGGGCGCCCGGGCACCCAACTTCTGCCCGGGTACACGCTCGGGTGCCCGGCCGGGCATGACCCCCGGGCAGGGTTCTGGGCAGGGTTCCGGGCAGGGTTCCGGGCAGCCCCAGCGCCAAAAAAAAAAAAAAAAACCTCAAAAAATTCCGAAAAAAAAAATGTTGTGTAGGATTGAAATGCAAACAGAATCGGAGATAAAAAAAACAGAATCACACAAAGGCACCCCCCTTTAGACCCCTTTAGGCCCCTTTAAAGCCAATTTATACCCCCAGCTCCGCCCCCTTTGACAGCCAACTCGCAAAAAACGAAATGAGCCCGGATTTGGAGTCCTCTGGGAGAGCGCAGAAATGTGCCTCCTTCGTACACATACATGGGGAGATACCACGGATGAGAGATGGAGGGAAGGGGCGAGACGAAGGAGCAGGAGGCGAGGGAGTAGACCAAGATCGCAATAGCGAAGTCCCAAAAATAGTCCCTTGCCAAGTGTCCAATCAATGTCTGTCCCAGAAATGTCGAAACAGATCCTGGGCAATGTGCCCAACCTAACCTTTGCCTGTACTTCCTACTGATATCCTCTCTTACTCTCGTAGCTGAAGAAGAAGGTAGGAAAGAGAAACAAGGAGGGGAAAAGAGAGAGAGAGAGAAAAAGGAGGAAGAAGAAGAAGATGACGTCCTCCTTGCTATCTCACCTGCAGGTAGCTGTTACCATACTGACTGTGGTCTTCGTCATGTGCAGGTACCGCGTGGAGCCCAGCTATGGCGCCAGGTAAGTTCGTCGCTTGCAGGTAAGGCCTCTGCCTCTCTCCACTACCTACTCCGCTACTCCCTACTCCGTAGCTTGGCGCAGAAATAAAGCTGCTTCAACCAGCAGCGTGTCGCTCTAGAAGTGAGCTACTCCAACTGTCCTTGCCCAGCCGCTGCCCAGCTATTTGTAGTGCTGGGCTGGCCGGGCGTACCTGATGCTGGCCGGGCGTACCTGATGCTGGCCGGGCGTACCTGATGCTGGCCTCAGAAAACAGCCCAGCTGGTCTGGGTCCCTACCGGACGTCCAGACCACGTTGCTGATGTAGCAAGGCGCAAAAATGTGCCTGGCCTAAAAACGGCCCGGTACCTGTGCACCTAGCCCAAGGCGTTGCCTTGGGACCTGCAGGACCGAAACGACGCCTGTACCTACCGGTTTGGCGCCAAAATGCGCCTGGCCTCGTTTCGGGCCTGCCTCCGGTGTACCCAGTCCCAAGGTCCGGCCCTGAGGCTGCAAGTCCGAAACGGCACCTGACAGACAAAGTAAGACAACACACACATACAAAAAGTTAAGTAAACGAAACCTATCTAACTAGTGTGCTTCCTAGGGCCTGAAGGGCCGCCGTGGGCCTCCAAGGCACGTGCTGTATGGTACGCGGCCTAGGGCCCCCTCAGCAACCGTCGGGCCCCTCAAATGGGGCTCGTGTGCAGGCGCAGCATGCAACAACAACCTCTCCTTATGAAGTCAAGCCGGGTCGAGGGCGAAGCTGGCGATCTGAAGGTGGAACCTAGACGCGGGTGCGACGTGGAGCCGAAGATGCCGGCTTGCCTTGTAACTTGCGTTCGTAGCGTGCGAGGACATCGGGAGCTATTGCTTGAAGTTCCGCACGGGTCAACCATCGGTCAGCTGTATGGGTGCAATATGCAAAATGGACCAAAAATTCAGTCGGCCTGTTGCATTAACGTCGTTGGGATATGGTGTCGCCAAACTCTTGAAAACCGTCCATCCAGGGTGGGTCTTGCCATCGTCGCCCGGGAAAGTCGTCAAGTTTTGTTGGCGTATAGAGAGCCAACTTAGAACAGTGAAAGACCGGGTTGACGGGCAAGTGGCGGGCACCTGTCCTTCGGGTGTGTCCCCAGCAGGTGCCACGATCGGTCAGGGCCCCATCCATTTCGGAAGGAGCTTGCGAGAGATATCTTGTTCGAGGCTGAATTCCGCAGCGGAAACCCATACGAGGTCGCCGGCGCGGAACAAACAATGAAGACGCTGGCGGTTGGCCTGTTGGCGCATACGTTTTTGGGTCTTTGACATCTGGTCGCGTGCCTTGACAAGGAGCTCTTGAATCCGACGAATGAAGAGAAGATGGTCGTCCCTCTCGGCCGCCTGTGGCATGATTGTGTCCAACGGAGAATTGACCGGCGAGCCATGCTCGAACTCGAAGGGCGACAACCCGATGGCCGGATGGATGGACGAGTTGTATGCCAACTCGATATCCGACAGCCGCTCAACCCAATCCTTTTGGTCGGGATGGATGAGAGTGCGAAGAAGGGCCTGTGCGGTCTGATGCGCCCTCTCCGTTTGGCCATCGGTTTGGGGGTGGCGAGCCGAACTTGGCTTGAGGGATGAGCCCCATCGTTTGATGAGTGCCAACCAAAAATCGAACACGTACCGAGTGTCACGGTCGCAGACGATCTCCTTGGGGTAACCCTTGGTTCGAATCCAACCAGCGTAGAGAACCTCGTCCAACTCCGGTGCCTTGGCGTGATAGCGGCAAGGCAAAAACATGGCAAACTTGGTGAGTTGGTCAACCACCGTGAGAATCCCATCCACGCCCGTCTTGTGCTTAGGGAACGACCCGGTAATATCCATGGCGACTGGTAATGGTCACAGTTCGCCGTACGGACGATGGTTGCGGGATTTGCAACGTCGGCAAACCTCGCATGACTCGCAATGGCGCGGGACGTCGTCGAGAAGACCGGGCCACCAAAAACGCTCGAGGAGTCGGCCAATCGTGCGATTGACTCCAAAGTGTCCGGTGGCGAGGGCGTCGTGGAACTCGCCAAGAAGCCTCATGCGAAGTGTGAATCTTGCGGCACACAAAGTAGATCCTTCCCCCGTGAGTGAACAAGCAAGTATCCCTCTTGTATCCGATAGTCCGAAGGCGTCGGATTGGGAGAGGAACAATTTGCGTACTTGTCGTGAAATTCGGGGTCGGCTTGATAGCCTCTGATGAAACTGTCCCGCAAGTCATCCTCTATCTCGAAGGTCGAGTAGAGGGCGGTGTAGTGATCCGGACGCAGTGAAAGAGCATCCGCAAAACGGTTTGACATCCTCAGAATATGATCGGGAGAGAAGTCGAACTGGTCGATGAAAGCCATCCAACGGGCGATCGTGATGTTGACAGTATCTTGGGTCTTGTAAAAGACCAACGGATTGTTGTCCGTTACCCATCGGAATCGGCGTCGACCAAGGAGGAAGTGCCGCCACCGCTTGAGTGTGTGGACGAGGGCGAGAAGTTCCTTCTTGCGTGCATCATCGATTGAATGCACGACCGACACTTTCTTGATGAAGTATTCGACCGGGTGCCAGTCCACGCCATCATGTTGTTCGAGGACGGCACCAATGCCATAGTTGGATGCATCCGTAGTGACGCGTGTTGGCAATAGCGGGTCGTATATTCACAAGACTTCCACTGATCGCAATGCGGCCTTAAGGGCCAAAAATGATCTCCGCGCATCCGTCCCGAAGTCAAATGGTCGGTCCTCGCGTTGAAGCTTGGACAAGTGGGCCACGGTCTTCGAGTAACCTTTGATGAAATGTTGGTAATAGCCGGCAAGGCCAAGGAACGAACGGACATCCGTGACGTTCCGCGGCTCCGACCAATCTTGGATGGCTTGAATCTTGTCCGACAACGGAGTGATGACTTGTGGAGTGACGAAATGGCCCAAGTATTCCAACTCTTGACGTACAAACTCGCACTTGTCGCGGTTGGCTTTGTTCGGAGCGTCTCCAACACTCGTCGAAGATGCTCAAGGTGTTCCTCCAAGGTTCGGCTATAGACGAGGTTGTCGTCTAAGTAGACCAGCCGGAACCGGTCTAACATTGCACGAAACTCGTTCGTCATCGCCTCTTGAAAAGTCGTCGGGGCGTTGGTGAGTCCGAAAGGCATGGCGACCCACTCAAAATGCCTGTATCGTGTCTTAAACGTGGTCTTGTAGCTATCTTGCGGGCGTATCGAAATTTGATGATACCCCGACTTTAAATCCAACTTGGAAAACAATTTTGAAAAAAAAATTGCGCCGTCCAAACGCTCCAGAAGTCGTCAATACGAGGAAGAGGTCCCGCGTTCTTGACGGTTTGTGCATTGAGCTTGCTGTAATCGATGCAAAGGCGAAGATCCTTGTTCTTCTTCCGTATGAAGAGAATCGGCGCACCATAGGGTGAGCTACGACGCCGGATCCAGCCTTTGTCCAACAAATCGTCGAGCTGCGCGCTGAGTACTGTAAGTTCCTCCTCGCTCATGCGATAGATGCAACCTTTCGGCGGCACGGCACCGGCCTCAAGAATGACCTCGTGGGAGATCGGTCGATCCAACACCACGTCGGTAGGTGACGCGAAGATGTCGGCGAATCCGTCAAGCAACCGTACCACACGGGGGTCCGAAGACAAGTCCGTGGGTTGAGATTCCGCTGCCGCGACGGTGCGAAGAAAACATAGGCCTATCTCGTCGGTCCGCTCGTAAGTGCAAGCGGCTCGAAAAGATTTGGCTGTTACAACTTGGCACCGGATCGAACGATGTGGAAGAGGGATGGTACATGGTACTTCGGCGCCAAATGCGTCACGGACCGTAAGAGTCCGCCGATGGAACTTGACCGTGTGATCCGCACTTGCAAGCCAAGGCATGCCGAAAATGATGTCGAAGTCCGTGTCCAAGACGTCAAACGTCACCGGTTCGCTTGCATGAGGTGCGAAATAGACCGGTACAGCCTCGATGTAGAGGTCAAGGAGTTGTTGCGTCCTACCGTCCGCCAACTTGATCCCCGTAGGGTGTGTCTTCCTTCGAACTTGTGGTCCAAGGCCGGCCCTTTGCATAAAGGACTGGCTAATGAAGTTGCGAGTCGTGCGGCTATCCAACAAAGCGTTGCAGGACGCTTGCCCAACTTGGATGCGGACATAAAGGAGCGATGCGTTGTTGTCGTCGTACCGCTGCGTGCGAAACTCGCGGGCCATCTTGCTAACATACGCAAGAATGTCCCCCACCGCGACTTCGTCCTCCGTTGGTGAAGTTGGTGGTGCATAGAAGGCTAGGTATGTATGTAGATGAGCGCTAAGAGCTGCGCATTGTGGCTCCGGTAAGCAGCCGATGGAAGGGAGAGGGAGCCATGCAAAATCCTCGGGCGTTAACGGGTCCAAGTCCTCTATGTTGAACGCGCACGCCGAATCCCGTGAAGGTCCACTTGAAGACGACTCAATGCTGCTGCTTCCGATTGGAGAAGAAGCCACACATACATCCTGTCCTTGGGTTCATGAATTCAGTGAAGGTACGAGCCAGGCAGCATAGTCCTCGAAAGAATGAAGAATGGGAGGACTTACGACTTCCGCATGTGCCCCGGAGCCGAGGGAAGTTACCTGTACGACAACCGATTCCGAAGGCGTCGAGAGTGTCGCCGCACCACTCTCGGCGGTGCTCAGTTTCTCGACTGAGTGGGTCTCTTGGCTTTCGTGGGACAGTTCGCGGTCCCATGTGCCGCGCAGTTGCACCACAAACAAAATCGGTACTTGCTGCGGACACGATACCCACGCTCCGTCAAACCGTATTGTGTCCAAGGTTCTTGAGCTGGCACTGCTTGTCAGAGCCCTGAAGAAGTGGTGTTTGTCTTCGTTTTGCCGCGTCCTCGTCCTTTGGCGGGGCGGCCACCATTCTGGGCAGCTGCTAATCTGCTCGCTCGGCAGAAGGGGCAGCCTCGTTTGAAGTTGAAGGGTCGCTTGGCGTTGCCGCCGCGACCACAGCCACCTTCGGTCGATGCTGATATGCGCCCTGGCCGGTTGTCAACGAACGACCAACGTTCTTGGCTTCCAAGTTCGTCACAATGATTTGCGCGGCCTTGTTGAAGAGTTTCTCACTT